TTGCTTCCCACTTCAGCTCAGATGTACAGGCAGCAGCTGCCTGACTTACTACAAAATCTGAGGTTTGGCAATCTCTGGTCAGCCTACAGCTTTTGTCCTCTTCCTTTAGACTGCAGTGACCCGGTTCTGAGGCAACAGGACAGCTCAAATGAGGTGAAGGACTCACGCAAATAAGTGTCACTGAGTTGAAGGTTCAGTCTGGGAAGGCAGTGATCTAGGCAAAGCCACCTTTGGGGGTCAGAGTTGTTCATTGCCTTGGACAAGGTGCTCTTCACCTTACAGGATTTAATCTGTACTTGACATGCTGAAAATGTTTTATCTGGGTCCTCTTATATTTCAAATGCCATCTGTCGAAGAAATTGGTGTTTAAGGAGAGCAGTTTGCGGAGGTTTCTCTTCCTTATCACCTTACCAGCAGATAAGATCTTTCTGAGTGGATAGGGAAGCAATGCAGTCTGCTAGGTAGAAGAATTGGCCCAAAAGGAAACCGGGAGGCAAGACTGGTTTTCTACCGCCATGCCCCAGCTGCAGAGAGGAGAGGGTCAGGCACGGGGTGAAGCAAGGCAAGCCGTGTGAGCTGTGTGCTTTCCATCTGCCTTGAGAGCTGTAGCTCAGCAGTGGCCTGAGTACGATTTCTGCCCTGCTCTGGGGGAACAAACCCTGGTGCTGCCTCTGTCCCACAAGCAGATCTCAAATTTAGCTCATTGTAAGATATATTTTGGGGCTGCAAACTGGTCCTTTAAGTATTCCTGGAGCAATACCACTACACTTCACACAGGGTCTGTGAAAAACCCCAAATGATCCCTGTAGACTTTTAATCATGTTATTCACTGCCTTGGCAATAGATTTGATTTCATGGCCTTTAATCAACAGAAGCACTTGTCTGTGACTGTAACTAATAAAAAAAAAATAGAGGCTATTGATTACAAAAATTTTACTCTTCACTGGTAAACCTGTAAACAAGGAATGCTACAGATTATAATAACCTCTCATTTTTAGCACATAAGTCTCAAAACATGTCCCACAAGCATTTATGTAAATTGAATGCCTCTGCTTGTATATTTTTCTCCCACCACTGTGCATATGAATTGGAAAATTTAGCTTTATACCCCAGGGCTCTCCCTGACACTCTCATTGCCTGAGATGTTGTTGTGGAAGTCTGCAAACGGAAGGGCTCAGAATGCACCTGAAATTTCAGTAATTAACAGCAGAAATGTTGGCAAACTGCTAAGCTGGAGGGAATGGGGGGATGTTCAAACAAATAGGAGTCTACCTTTTTAAAACACAGATTTTTCAGCATATCTGGCTGCTGCTCTAAAAAAGGAAAAAAAGCCAATGATTTACAGAGTAGATGTTAAAGATTCAGGTTGTGACTGGTTACATGTTTAAGCCTCTGACTTTTACAGAATTTTGCAGTGTCTGCATCTCATTGCTGATATTGCTGCACCTTTCTTTCTAGGCTCTTGTGGAATATATCCCATATCCATCCCTGTTCAAATGACTGAGTCCAATCAGCAAAGCCTTTTGTAAAACAGGCTTTTGGACTGCATTCTCTAATAAAAGTCTGTTTGTGTGTCTGCTCTGTGGAGTGCCTGTCTCTATTGTTGGGGAGGGATTAGTATTCCCATAGCATAGAGAAATTCAAGCCAACAGAGGGATCTGATTGTGCTAGGTGCTTTACAGACACCCTTTCTTCAAAGGGCTAGTAGACAACATAGAGAGGGCAGATTACAGGTAGGAGATAAAAGACTTCTTTCCAGGAGGTCTGCTGGACAGGCAGTGTTTGGATATAGGAAGGCACTCATAGCAGCCAGGAGGTAGGAAGGAATTAGTCTTCATTCCAGTAGGTCCACTAGGGCAGCAGCCCTCTGCTTCATGCTCTCTAATTTTGTAACAGTTACTTAGGAAAAAAAACCATACTGAGTAGTAATTTAGCAACTGACCTATTGGTTTCCTACAGAAAGATCAGAAAACTTTCAAACACAGTGTTTGGTGCTACTAGGATCTTTGTTTACTTTCTTATTGCTTCATATCCAAGTTGTTCTAGGAAATGAATGAAAAATTGAGGACACCTAGATGCTGCAGTGACAAGAATACATGGACACCTT